AAAGAAATTGAATGTTCATCACGACACCTTTTTTTTTACCTATCCTTTTTATAGTGTGCAAAAATAACCTCCTCCTCCGCCACCACACACACTCAATTACACATCTGAACAGAGTGACATTATCATAATTTCATGCTTTGTTTTGGATAATCCAATATGTTAATTGGATTCAATCATGCATACATTCAATTACCTACATTCATCTTAATGAGTGTTAATTAGTGTTAGGACAATAGGAGAATAAATGGAAATATGAAACTATTCTGTTTTTGCTTTAAACATGTTTTTATTGTTTAGTACATTGAATTTAAGAGATTTTGTAAAGATTCTCCTCATTCTAAACTTTCTTTACAATTCATTAACTGCCATTCTATCTTCTTTTTCGGCTTTTTTTATTTTTACCATTCATAAATCACTGTGTAATTATTTATTATAGTGATTTATTGAGATTTAGATGGTAGATGGAGGTAGTCAACAGGAAACCCTGGTCCCGGGTTTCGTGCTACTTGGCACTCGTCAGCAAGGTGTACCTGTAATCTTGAGAGAACTGGCTCTCCCTGGCGGATTCGATCTCGTGTCATCCAGCTTCACAGTCAGAGATGTTACCACTGAGCTATTCGAGCCGTGACTAACCTCCTGTAGGACTGAGATGTAATCACAATTGATTGATCACTGGGTGGTGATCAATGTCATGCTTGTCTAGTCCTTATTAGTGCAGATCGAATGCTATCGACCATGTTGCAATGTGGCCACCAATCTAAGTGACTCGACACTGCGGGCACTATGTATTGAGATTTAGATGGTATCCAACATTACAGTTGGTGTATGTTCTGTTTCGAATCACGTGAATTATCCCAAGTAGAGATGAATTTTGGAGAGTTTCTTAAAATATATTCACATAATTCTAATGCTATTTTCTAGTGAATCAATAAAAATTTTCATATAAAATCAAAAATTGAATAAAGAAAATATATCAGTATAGGGGTTCTGGAGATTAAATACTTACGCCTGTTACTCCTAATGGAGCATAGGCCGCCGACCATCATTCTCCAACACACTCTGTCCTGAACCTTCCTTTCTAGTTTTATTCAATTGTTATTCATTCTTCTTATATCTGTCTCCACTTCTCGGTGTAATGTGTTCTTTGGTCTTCCTCTTCTCCTTTTGCCTTGAAGATTCCATATGTGGGCTTATCTTGTGACACAGTTCAATGCTTTCCTCATTGTGTATCCTATCCACTTACAGCGATTTTTCCTGATTTCTTCCTCTGTTGGGATCTGGCTTGTTCTCCCCCATAGTAGGCTATTGTTGATAGTGTCTGGTCAACGGATCTGAAGTATTTTGTGTAGACAACTGTTAATCAACATTCGTATCTTCTCGGTGATGGCTTTCTTAGTTCTCCGAGTTTTCGCCCCATACTGTAGGACTGTTTTCACATTTGTATTGAAAATTACGACCTTGGTTTTTGTTGACAATTGTTTTGTTGTGGGGATTACTAAATTTTTAATTGAGATTATGAACTAATTGACATTAGACCATCATTGAGAATCTAGAAGGACTGAATGACCGTTTCGCTCTATCGTAGGACTCTTCAGTAATTCGTATCCACGATCCTACACACAAGGGATTCGAACCCTGTGTTTTCAGTCTCGCTTGCGAACGCTTAACCTCTAGACCACTGAGCTGGCATCCAACACTCTTAATGTATAAATTCAATCAATTCACGAAATTGAGAGACACATCCACCATTGTCTTCGGTGAGTCACTATCTCACAACAGACCCGATTGAACTCCATTGGTCACATCTTTGGAATTTGAAACGTTTTAAGCATTATACAAAGATATTTGTGTGGTGGATTTTTTGTGATGGAAGATATAAGACATCTATGATTACATTTTGAGTTAAAACTCGAAAACAATTCCCTCAGTTCTCATCGACTCGTTCCCAAACTAGACTTTTAAAAGTTTTAAAGTCAGGGTAATGTAGGACAATACATGATACTTCGATAGTTTTCTAATGTTTTGACTGATGGATTAGGGAATGAGTCGTATTATTGTACGGTTGTTGACCGTTTAATGTAGTTTTGATCGTTTCATAAAATATGGATATATTCGATGGGGAAAAGGTCATAACAATCAGTAAATCCAAAGGTCAATATAATAATTGTGATTGGGCGTCTGTTGAGTGCAGTACATATTGAGTAGATGCTATTTGGGGTTTTATATACCAGACACTTAAACTTTAAGACAGAGTTGGTCAATGACTATATGACTGTAAATACTATATCAAGCTGACTGTATATACTCGATGTGTCAAACTTTTTTTTATAGAGATATTGATATGTATCAGTTAAAAAATTGCACATACATTTACTCATATAATCGACAGCATGAATTATGTCAACTTATCAGAGAGATGGGATACAACTTCTGCACAATTATTCACTACTCTATTGTAATTTGTGTGTGTGTATGTGTCAGTTTAGGTATGTATATGAATTTGCTGAAGCTCATACATGAAAACGCTGGTTTATAAGTGTAGGTTATCTGACGAAAAATGAATATACCAGGTACGGGAATTGTCAGTTGAAATTGTAAATGACGAATAGAATGTACGTAAAACATAAAGTGTTCATTCATTCCTTCAAACTGTGGTCACGATTCAGATTTGTTACGTCTAAATGATGATGATGATGATGATGATGCGTAGCTTTCGAAAGAAAATTGACCAAAATTAATTAGATGATTAGTTTTCATAATTAATTTTTAAAGACTACCGCTGAACAAATGTCAACAAATCTACTTGGTTGCTCAAAGTAGATAAATAAGCGTGATTCAGTTCTTCAAGTTACTTAAGATTTATTAGTATATTAGCGTCAATAATCATCGGACGGCAATATGGAGCTCGTAAAGTTAAGACTTTGGACAACCAGGGTGATTACACATCTGGTCGTGTTTGTATATTTCTAATTGATCATGATAAATGTGGTGTACTCCACTCTTTGCCCTTTCAACGATTTAACGACTGAGGTTATCAGCAATCTCCTCAATGTTTAACGAACAGCTTGTAATACACCATTTCCTACCATTTAACTTTCATCTGTTTGATGAATGCTCCATACTAAAATGCAATTTTCACTAAAGATACCACTTCAGGTATTTTAAATAATCCACAAACGTCTCTCGTGTACGTGTTCGACGTAGCGCAGACCTATATAGTGAGAAATATAACTTGATAAAAACTGCCTTATTTTAAAGCACCCATTCATGAAATGGCTAAAGAATTATCTGAAAGCCTTGAATTTAACACATTTATTAAATATCGAAAACTGAATTTAGCTTCAATTGACTCATGAATTCAACTATTAAAATTATTATTATATCCACAAAATCCCCTCTCTGATTACAATCATCACATGCTCAAGTGTGAAGGTGGTCCCGAACAGGTATTTCCTGGAGTTCTAGTTAGAACCAATGACCAATAAAGTTCAACCGGGTCTGTTGTGAGATAGTAACTCACTGATGAAAATGGTGGACGGTGGCGCAACTTCGTGGATTGATTGAAGTTAGACATTGACAACTTTGGATGCCGGCTCAGTGGTCTAATGATTAAGCGTTCGTGCGCGAGATCGATAGGTCCTGAATTCTAATCTCATGAGGCGGGATTGTGGATGCGCACTGCTGAGGAGTCCTACAATAAAATGAAATGGTCGTCCAGCATTTACAGGTTTTTCATGATGGTCTAGCTTCAATTGACTTATGAATTCAAGTATTAAAATTACTATATATCCACAAAATTCTCTCTCTGATTGCATTCATGTCTATCTATAAAAATTCATTGACAACATGATTTAAATTAATAATTTTTTCAAGACGACAATCATTTTTATGATCTATTTGTCACTAGTCTAAAGAATTCTTTTATTTAAAGATTCACATCATGTTTAGTAGTGTCTGTCTATGTTCTATACAATTAACATTAAGTCTCACTTAAGGTTGTCATTTATCTATTTAATGTTGTACAATAATTAAGTCAATGATTCACCACTGTATATTATAATAAGAGCACATCCTTTAGAAAAAGTTCTGTTTTTGTGTTGTTTTGTTACTAAGCTCTAGATTACTTTAAATGGTAATGCTTCAAACGTGTAACTTGGTTACATAGACTACCAGAATTCTTGTCTCAACGTGTAATATCAATGGAAGGAGATGGAAAGTGAGAGAGAGATATATATTGTGTTTCAATAAATTTGTGTGTATTTTTATTCATATTTTAAGACATTAGACTTAATTTACTTATCATTACAGTTCACTTAATAACATATGATATATGACAATAATAATAATAATAATAATAATAATAATAATAATAATAATAATAATAATAATAATAATAATAATAATAATGGATATGAACAATAAATAACCAACGATATGATGCCTTATCGACTAATACCTAAACTACTATTAATCGTTAATTAGACATTATAATTGATTTTTAATCAGTTACAAGAATTGTATTCGGGACACCGTCTGTAAAATGAATTTTAATGATTCTCAATAATTAGTGTATTTTTTGTTGTTATTAAAATGGTATTGTGTAAAGAATGATTTGATTCATAGGGTAATATTCGTCGTGTACTGATGATATCAAATAGAGCAATATGGAAAACAAAGAAGTAATCGAGTATTTTATTTCTCATGAGAATGGACCCAATATATTAAGACCTCAAGGAGAGTAAGTCATATTTATATCATTGAGTTAGAATTCAGTGATAGATATTTTCAAATTCAGTGAATCACTTACATAATGCGACGATCATTCAATCCCAGACAATGATCACTATTTTAATCTTGTAGAAAACCAATACTCAATCAGTGATGACGCCTAAATAGGACCTTGACAACAATGTCACTAGTAAACAAACTATGATAGTTTTAGCTGAAATATTTTATAAAAATAGTTTTAAATTGTATGTAATACTATTCAAAAGTTCACATCAGATGGTTCGAGTTAACGATGTAACCGTAGTAGTAGTAGTAGTAGTGGTAGTAGTGGTAGTAGTGGTAGTAGTGGTAGTAGTGGTAGTAGTGGTAGTAGTGGTAGTAGTAGTAGTAATAGTAGTAGTAGTAGTAGTAGTAGTAGTAGTAGTAGTAGTACATTTAAGCATATGTTGTTTTTTAATTCTTTTTTGTTTCTTCATATGGGACTGAATTGAAGGCTTATTATTATATTTAGGATAATAATTATAATCATAGAATAGATTATAACTAGAAAGTTGGTTGAGTGTTATGTTGATTATTCTATTACAATTTTTAATTCATAGATGTACTCTATGATAAAAGTACATAATAATAAGTACTTTCGTCTAAATTTGATAGATTGGTTATACCGTATTTGGGCACCGAGTTAATGTGAGACATTAAAGTCTGTCAGTCAGTCAGTCAGCAACAACGTAGAACTTCGTACATAAGAACATCACTTCGAGTTGCTATACCACATTGCCACACAGAAACAATTATCTATTCAAATTCCATAGTGGTAGAAGTAATAAAAGTATAATCAGTAGTCGGAAACATTAGGGTTTGAAGACGTTATTCAAGGAGTATAATCCAGTGAGATAAATTTGAAAAGAGAAAAAGAAAAGGAACATGGAGAAGTCAGAAGATTCGAATTCGGGAGAACACAAAGAGTGGATGCAGCTGCGTCATTGCAAACGATTTTGAGCCATATCATTCAAGGTCTCTAACCATCAGTTACTATAATCTCGTGGATCCCAACCAAGTAGTCTACACCTACAAACATGTCTCAGTTCACTTGTTAGTAACTTCATAGATTTGTTCCATGTTTTGATTTGGTCGCCTCTAGCTTTCTTTCAACCTACTCTTACATCAATGAATGAATTTGAATGAAATCTAACAGTTCGCCTGGCAATCAAAATTATTGATAATTTTAATGTTTGTTTCTATATTTCCTTGAAAAAAGCTTGAACTAGATTATTAGGCGAAACGTTGAATTCACTTCATATTCATATACATTCTTCTTCCTCTTTAATGTACCATTGTTTTTTCGTCGTTTCGTTCAGACTGTCGATAAATTTACATTAAGGTATAGAAGAGTGATTGTCTGCTGTAGTTAGTAGAGTTTTGTTTTTATAATTTAATTTCCTTTTAATTCTCGGTGTGTTTAAATTGTAGTTATTAGTGGGATTAAGATGTATATTATGCCTTATTTGGGACTAGTCAATTAGATATAAATGGACCTCGATGTGAATGCTCAAGTTTGTTTTGCTATTTTATTAAATAACCAAGAGAATTTTGAAATATTGGAGAAGATTTGTAACTCAGGTGGATGATTTTGATGGAGTTTTATTCTCTGAGCTGGATGCTTTATGTCGTGAAGCTTTCATCGTTCTTCTGAACAATATCATCATCACAAAGTTCAGGTAGAAGTGTTCAAATTTCTTTATATATGACTCACAGCTTGTCTTTTCGACCTCGATCTTGATTGATTATTGTTGACCTTTCGCCTGACATTATCTACCTCTTATTTTGATTTCATCTCCTTTTGATCTGATTCTTGGTCTTACATTTGTCCATGATTTTTCTGATTGGTTGATAGATTGAAGCCATTTCAATGTGTCGGTTGATTGCTTACTGACCTGAACGCCAAGCTTCTAAAAAAACTCTCTGGTGTAATTAGTATTCCCTTTACCATAAGCTTCAATATTTTTCCAGCCGAACGTGTTACCACGATTATCAATGTGCATTAATATAAGCGAAGATATTTCATGACGTTTGACCGCTAATTGATGTTCATGCAGGCAAAGATGAAGGGGTTGTTCACTTTGTCCAAAGTACTGTTTTTCGCCTTAGGAACACTTTATTTTGTTCATAGTAAACAAACTTCCGATTTGTAAGACAAAGATGGGTGTAAATATATGGAGGTTGTAAAGATTGTTGAATTTCTACTTTACATTACTGACTGACTTTGGTTAGTTGTGGAATATAATAAAATAATGGAAGTTTGAAATATTAACTAGTGGATGCCGATTCATTTGTTTGAAGTTTAAATGCTTTCCACAAGGTCTAAAGCTATCGAATTCGATTATTGGTGAGTTTATTGACCCATACTGTCGAATACTTTTAAACTAGAACAAAACAACTGGCTCTTCAATACTACTTTGATTTCAATGGTTTTCTGAGAGAGATGTGAGTAGTTTAAACTCCACTGGATTAGAAAAAGTTAGCTAATGAGTCTTACATTGAGATGAAATAACTATCTGATTGGTATTTTCTGGGTTTTTTTTGAGTCATATCAATTCTTGATAGAAAAAAAAGTGGTTGGGACAAGTACTACGTGTGCCCAACTACTGTTTACCTCTACAGTCAGTGTTAGCTCTTCTAGAAGTAGATCAGGAGAAAGTTACAGGTGCTCAAACTAAAACGTGTCGTCAGTTTATGTAACCACTGACTGTCGATCTAATGCATCTCATTAAGTCCAAACAACTTGGTTGAGACTTGTACCATTATCACAACCGATAGTTGAAAACATTGTGTAGCATGGTTCAGAGTCGATGGCTGGTGGACAGATTCATCTACTCTATATCTTATATCGTGCGTTTGAAAATTATCTTATATTTTAATTTCAATGGTTAATTATTTCTCCTAGAATAACATTGTCTATGTTCAGTCTTCTTATCACCACCAACACTGTTACTACTTCTACTACCCTAACTTTTCTCTTGATAATCTAATCTTACTGTAACGATATGGTATAGGAACTTAAACCAATGTACGTATGCGCCAGATTCTATGTTACTTGTGATATGTATATAATTATTATAACTAATGATTATACACAGCAGAACATTAAAATCAGAAGAGGTTTTTGTGGAGATTGTAGTAATTTAATAGAATTAATGAGTCAAATAAACCTAGAGCACCATGGAAAACCTGAAAGCATTGGACGGCCGTCTCAGTAGTGCGCACCCACCATCCCGCTTCACGAAATTCGAACTCAGGATCCTCGGTTTCGCGCGCAAGCGCCTAAACTCTAGACCACTGAGCTGGCATCCAACGTTGTTAATGTCTGACTTCAACCAACCCACGAAATCGAGCGACATATCCACCACTGTCATCAGTGAGTTACTATCTCACGATAGTACCGACTGAACTCCACTGGTTACTGCTTCTCACGAGAACTCCAGTGCTTCCAGGTTTTCCAAGATGGTCTAGTTTCAAGTGACTCATAAAATCTATCGAATAACAATTGTAATTTTCAGGAGTATTTAGAAAATTCAAGAAATCACTGGATAGTCGTCAGTCAGTTTGAGTTGTTGTAATCCAACATCAGTTTGTTTCAATAATTTTGCACTGGATTGAATCAATACACTTTTAGTGACTCAGTTATTGTGGATAGCATAATATCGTTCAGACACGACCCAAGTCGATTGATGCACATTTTCCAGCTTTAATGATTATGCTACGTAATAAAATAATTAGCTTGCATCAGTAGATGGTGATTAGTTTTTTGATTAATGATCATCATCAATCTATAAAATTTTCCTCTGCTGAAATACTGATAGATTTTCGGAAAACATTTAACTAATGTTGCTTGGCGTGTGTGTGTGTGTGTATGGATACATAGTGGATGCAAGTATATAAGCAGGTTATACAGTAGGACAGATTGAGTTTCATTCTCGTTGATCGACTACTTAATTTGTAATTGATAACAGGTTATGTGCAACATATTCAGTGCTTAAGAATACTGATAATTGTCATGTACTAAATAGTAACTAGCTTCAAGACTTTACTGCTGAAATTCCCGTATTAAAACGGAACAATTTCAGTTAGTTGGTTAGTCTCAACATGTAGTCTGGTACGTATGTTCATCATTTCAAATTTCTATACCCCATTAGCACAGAGTGATGAGATTGTTAGACAAAGTCACAGATTAGTTGAGGTAATAACTTTATGAGTGGTGATAGAAAAGAGGACCCCAATCAAGTAGACTATACCTATTTACACAGCTCAAAATCCAATTGCCAATGACTTTATGGACTGATGCTCAGTCCTGGTTTGATCACTTTCAACCTTTTTTCAATCTATTCCTACACCAGACAAAATCTCCCATCGAGGTAGGTGGTATTTGGAAATCCATAGCACATCCCAGCCACCCCACTTGAAGATTTACTACCTAACCAATCGATTTGTCATCCTTATCTATTATCCTATTCCAAACCTAGATATTGCTTACTCGTTTTTTTAAAAACGCGAGCAACGCTATGAAAACATCTATGATATAATACGAGTAACTTTCGAATATCCTCTATAACTATTAAATTAGAGTCTCAATCTAGTCATCAGCGCTAAAATATAAGTACATTTACCACTTCTTAAAACCATAGTCATAATTTGCCAACATTCTAAAATCCTAACTCTGTCAGCATCAGAACTCAAACGGTTTTTAATCATATGTAAATTATGTTCAGTTTCAGTTTACTAATATCATATACTGACAAACTGATGGTGTAGCAATTGGAAGTCCGTTAGCAGATATTTCCATGGTTAATCTCACAAGAACCAATCTGGAATGAGCGATTGGTGAAATGGTGTATTATTCGAGGTATACTGATAACACCTCCATCGTATGTAATAACCAACAGCATGAAACAAATCTGTTGAAACTTCTTAACAAAGCCAACAATATCGATCGCACGGTCCTACGTTCAGTTCATAGAATGGGAGTTATCTCAATTTCAATACCTTTTGTCTACTCAGTTATAAAAAGGCATTGGTTAAAACATTATTTCACAGAACAGAAAGATTATATACTGCCGATAAACTAGGTGAGGAACTAATAAATGTGAAAACGTGTTCAAAGAACAACGGATACCTACTGAAATTTATGGAGGAATATGCAAAACGTGAAGATAAAACACCCAAAGAAACTACAGTAAACAAAAAACCCATTTATATTCAACTTAAATTCAAAGGTGATGATGTGACAGGATCAACCAACATAAGGCTAAAACTGTCAAGAAATTATCCTGAAGCTAAACTGATTGTCTTGTCCAAAACAACATGTTCCTTAACACAATCAAAAATATATAGGTGTTCCTTTCATGTTACCACCAACTATGCATACAATTCCGCATCAATTAGCCAAGGCAGTTACATTGGTGGAACAGAACGGAGGGCC